AGTAAAAAAATTAAAATCAGGCCGAGCATGGTGGCTCACGCCTGTAATCCCAGCACTTTGGGAGGCTGAGGCAGGTATATCACGAGGGTCAAGAGATCAAGACCATCCTGGCCAACATGGTGAAACCCCATCTCTACTAAAAATACAACAAATTAGCTGGGTATGATGGTGGGCGCCTGTAATCCCAGCTAGTTGGGAGGCTGAGGCAGGAGAATCACTTGAACCTAGGAGGCGGAGGTTGCAGTGAGCCAAGATTGTGCCATTGCACTCCAGCCTGGCGAAAGAGCAAGACTCCATCTCAGAAATACATACATACATACATACATACATACATACATACATACATCAGAAGTCCATGTAAATGTATCCAGGTGTAGGGGCTGAGGAGGTAGAACAGTGGAGGAAAAAGTTTCCCCAGCCTCCAGTCTCCATGCTCGGGGGCTCCCTGCAGCCACCCTACCAGCCTACCCAGTGGTTCCTGGAGATTTGGCAGGGAGGCACACAGGCATGAAAAATGAGAGCCAAACACTCAGTTCAAGGCATCCAAACAGCCCGAGGTTGGCTGCACAACATTAGGAATGTACTAAATGGGCCGGGAGCTGTAGCTCACGCCTGTAATCCCAGCACCTTGGGAGGTCAAGGTGGATGGATCACTAGAGGTCAGGAGTTGGAGACCAGCCTGGCCAATACAGTGAAACCTACCTCTACTAAAAATATAAAATTAGCCAGGCATGGTGGCGCACACCTATAGTCGTAGCTACTCAGGAGGCTGAGGCAGGAGAATCACTTGACCCTGGGAGGCAGAGGTTGCAGTGAGCTGAGATCATACCACTGCGCTCCAGCCTGGGTAACAGTGAGATTTGTCTCAGAAAAAAAAAAAAAAAAAAAAAAAAAAAAGTACTAAATCCCACTGAATTGTTCACTTTATTTTTTTTTTTAATTAATTATTTTTTGAAACGGAGTCTCGCTCTGTCACCCAGGCTGGAGTGCAGTGGTGTGATCTCGGCTCATTGCAAACTCTCCCTCCTGCGTTCAAGCAATTCTCCTGCCTCAGCCTCCCGAGTAGCTGGGATTACAGGCGTGCACCACCACGGTCCAGCTAACTTTTGTATTTTTAGTAGAGACGGGGTTTCACCATGTTGGTCAGGCTGGTCTCCAATTCCTGACCTCAAGTGATCCACCCGCCTTGGCCTCCCAAAGTGCTGGGATTACAGGCGTGAGCCACCACACCCGGCCTGTATTGCTCACTTTAAAATGATTATGCTAGGTAAATTTTACCTCAATTTTTAAAAAAGTCCCTGAGTGTTGTCCTCTCACACAACCTACAAACAAACTTTGGGCCTAAGTGCCCCTGCTTCTTGAGAGCCTGCTGACTCCCACCAGTGCCTGCCTCCCTGGGGTGGTAGGCCAAGGTCCCAGGCTGCCTTTGCATGGAAAAGAGCTGGTGCACTTTATAGCAACCCATTGGCTCTTGATTCCCATTATTAAGCGAGTTCCATGCCCATAAATTGAGCAAAAGGTCTAAATGAAGACTGGGCGTGGTGGCTCACACTTGTAATCCCAGCACTTTGGGAGGCCAAGGCGGGAGGGAGGATGGCTTGAGCCCAGGAGTTCCAGACCAGCCTGGGCAACATAGCAACACCCCGTATCTCGACAAAAAGATAAAATACAAAATTAGTTGGGACCAGTGGCACACACCTGTGGTCCTAGCCACTTGGGAGGCTGAGGCAGGAGGATTGCTTGAGCCCAGGGGTTTGAAACTGCACTGAGCTATGATCGTACCACTGCACTCCAGCCTGGGTGATACAGCGAGACCCTGTCTCTAGTAATTTTTAACAAATCTAAATAAAGGTGCTCAGCCAGGACAAGTTAGGAAGTGCTGGAGTCTCTAGCCTTGTCAACACAGCAAGACTCTGTCTCAAATATATATAGACACATATACATACACATACACACACACACGCCACACATATCTGAAATACTAGAGTTAAGGAAAGTCTCCTCTGGGGTTGGGCGCGGTGGCTCACGCCTATAATCCCAGCACTTTGGGAGGCCGAGGCGGGCAGATCACGAGGTCAGGAGATGGAGACCATCCTGGCTAACACGGTGAAACCCCGTCTCTATTAAAAATACAAAAAAATGGCCGGGCGCGGTGGCTCAAGCCTGTAATCCCAGCACTTTGGGAGGCCGAGACAGGCGGATCACGAGGTCAGGAGATCGAGACCATCCTGGCTAACACGGTGAAACCCCGTCTCTACTAAAAAATACAAAAAACTAGCCGGGCGAGGTTGCAGGCGCCTGTAGACCCAGCTACTCGGCAGGCTGAGGCAGGAGAATGGCGTGAACCCGGGAGGCGGAGCTTGCAGTGAGCTGAGATCCGGCCACTGCACCCCAGCCTGGGCGACAGAGCCAGACTCCGTCTCAAAAAAAAAAAAAAAAAATACAAAAAAATTAGCCGGGTGTGGTGGCGGGTGCCTGTAGTCCCAGGTACTTGGGAGGCTGAGGTAGGAGAATGGCGTGAACCCAGGAGGCGGAGGTTGCAGTGAGCTGACACTGCGTCACTGCACTCCAGCCTGGGCAACACAGGGAGACTCCATCTCAAAAAAAAAAAAAAAGTCTTCTTTGAATTCTGCAACATAGACTGGCATTCAAGTTAGTTTCAGGAGGTGTCAAAAAGCTGGCTAGCAGAAGTTCAAGACCAGCCTGGCCGACACGGCAAAACCCTGTCTCTACTAAAAATTCAAAAATTAGCCGGTCATAGTGGCAAATGCCTGTAATCCCAGCTACTCAGGAGGCTGAGGAACGAGAATCGCTTAACCCAGGAGGTGGAGGTTGCAGTGAGCCAAGATCACGCCACTGCATTCCAGCCTGGGAGACAGAGCAAGACTCCATCTCCAAAAACAAAACAAAACCAAAAGATAGCTAGTAGTTGGGATGAGGAGACAGAAAGATAAGAGAAACGTGTTTATTTCTCTCTCTCTCTCTTTTTTTTTTTTTTTTTTTTTTTTGAGACACTGTCTCACTCTGTTGCCCAGGCTGGAGTGCAGTCACCATACCTGGCTAATTTTTTAATTTTTTTTTTTTTTTTTTGCAGAGACAAGGTCTCCGTATGTTGCCCAGGCTGGTCTCAAACTCCTGGCCTCAAGCAATTCTCCCACCTCAGCCTCCCAAAACGCTGGGACCACAGGCATAAGCCACTGCACCCAGCCTATTTCTCATTTTTTAACTACTTAAAATGGTCTCCACATTCAAACTCCTTTGGGGTTTTGGAGAAGGGATTGGGGAAGCAAAGAGTTCATCTGCTTACTAAGGTGGTCAGAGTGTTATTTGGATCTAGGAGCCTCGAGAGCCTCAGGACAGCAGTTTCTAGCCTAAGGAGGCCTCGGGACTAGACCAGTTTCTCAAAGACAGAGCTGCGTATGGTGCCTTTGTCATATCAAGATGTCTGGATGCTTGCTGGTCTCAGATTTTCCTGGGAATCCAGTGGAGTGCAGATAGCACCTGTATGTGTCTAAGAGAGAGTGCATGTGTGCACAGCATGTGGGAGGGAGCCACCAATGGTGGCTTGCCCCGAGCCCTGCGCCCCTAGGGATGGTTCAGCTAAGGGGAGCAACAGTCACCACTGGCCCAGGACAAATGACTGAATGAACATTCCAAGGCTGCTCTGCCTCTCAAGGACAGGGGCTTGGGAACCCAGAGCTGGAGGGAGGGAAAACAGAAAAGGCAGCCATCCTGTCCCCGGCCGGGGAGAGGCTAGTGAGGCTGTACAGGCCTGAGGCCTGTGCTCCAAGGTTTAGTCAGCTCATCTGAGACGTGGGTGGAGGCTGGCTGAGCAGGAGTCAAGATCTCCCACAACAGCCTCCCATTAGTCCCCCTCACCTCCTATCTAGTCCTCGCCTTCCATAAGAGCCTTTAGTTAAGTCCTCTTTGTTTCTTCCTCCATCATCAACTACTTAACCTTTGTTGGATAAACAAATGAGCCCCTGGTTGGGAGCCTGGAACCATATATCTGGGGGTGTAGTGGTTCGGGACTAACTAGGGCCAAAGCCTGGGTGAGAAGAGGGAGCAGCCTTGGGCCAATCCTTAGTCCTATTGGCTCCTGGCCAGAGAGGGGTTCTAACCATAATACAAACACTGCAGCCTCCAAGGAGGTTCAGAGATAAACTCCCAGCTGCTCTGCAGCTCAGGCAGTCTGAAGAAGTCACTGTTAGAGCAAGGGCCAAACTGTGATGTCAATAAGAGGCGGGATTCCTTTATTCAGAGGTCAAGTCTGAGGAGATTCCTACTGAGCATGCCCAAGCTAGTCTCCCCTCCTTCCCTCCTCCCCCTGCCCAACTCAGTAGAGCTATCTTACTGCAGACAAACAGCTGCTATCCACTAATGAGAAAATAAATGCATGTTGGCTTGTGGTCCTTGCCATGGGCCTCAACACCAGACACTTTCCAGAAGGGGCAGGTGAGGGAGGAAAAGAAAGGAATGGAAGAAAGGGGGACCCTGGGATGCAGAGGGAACACCACACTTCCCACAGGCAAGGGCTGTAAAGAATGAAGCTTCGGGAAGCATCCCAGGGGTTCTACTTTGATCACAAGCAAGAAATTGCAAACACATAAGCAAAATGCTAAGTATCACTTCGTTGCAACTGACATCCCATTCAAAGCACAGGTCAACACATTCTGTCCCCCAGCTAGGTCTGCTAGTGGGGCTGCTGCCCTCACACAGAGGCCCACCCTAGATCCCTATCTACGAAATAGTTCCCTGTGGGCTCCCAGGGCCCTGAAGAGGATGCACACACTTGCAGTAAGGGGATAAGAGGAAGTGGCCTTTGGACTTTTTCAAGCAAACTGAGATTCTTGAGATCTTTGAAGGAAAGCAGGTGAAGAGTGCAGATGGCCCTCATGGGAGCTGTTCAAGGTGGAAGGAGATGAAGAGGATGTCCTCACAAGTTCAGGAATCAGACGCTGGCCCCAAGGACAACAGTGTCAAGTCTGGACCACACTTACCACTGAGAAAGCGCTTCATGGTGTCGCTGCTGGCCAGCTTCATGGCTGTCTGACCCGAGTAGGTAGCCAGTGTGGGATCAGCCCCATAGGACAGTAGGAGCCAGATGGTCTCCAGGTTGTCGTTGACCACCGCATCATGAACTGGCCTATGGAGGTGATACAGGATGAGAATAACAGGGCCCAAGTGGGAACTGGGGTATCTAGACTTAAGGCTACCGCACCAGGGGAAAAAACTGAGCTGACCCCAGGTAACCTTGGTGTAATATGGTTTAAGACTTAGGACAGGGGAACCACCTGTAGCCTTGCCACTCTCCACTACCATCTCCCCAACTCCTCCTCTCTCTGCACCCCCTTTTCCTCCCTGCCATTACTCTCTCTCTGACGTTCCCCCGACATCTTGGGACAGTTCCCATGGCACAGTGGAGCTCTATTGGTAGTTGTGGAGTTCACTAGAGAATGGGTCCTTGACCTACAATAGAGTTCAGGCAGCTGCAGGGAGCCGGGCGCGGTGGCTCACGCCTGTCATCCCAGCACTTCGGGAGGCTGAAGCGGGTGGATCACTTGAGGTCAAGAGTTTGAGACCAGCCTGGCCAAAATGGTGAAACCCCATTTCTATTAAAAATACAAAAATTAGCCAGGCGTCACGGCGGGCACCCATAGTCCCAGCTACTTGGAAGGCTGAGGCAGGAGAATCCCTTGAACCTGGGAGGCAGAGGTTGCAGTGAGCCAAGATTGTGCCACTGCCTACCAGCCGGGGCAACAGAGCGAGACTCTATCTCAAAAAAAAAAAAAAAAAAAAAAAAGGGTGGGGGGCAGCTGTAGAGGGATACAAACTGCAGGCCCTGGGTGACTCCCTGAGAGCAGAGATGAGCAGAATGGTTCCACACGCCAGGCAGAACCCAAGTGGAGCCCCCTCCTGCATCTGCAGCTCCTGTCTCTAAGTTGCCCAGGAAGTAGGCTCTCTGGTAGAACAGAGGAGAATGGGTACAGTTTCTCCAAGACACAGCAGGTATATTTTTCTTACAGTGTCTAGAGATCAAATTTTAAAAATCAAATCTGGATATTCCCTCAGGTCAACCTCCCAGTTCCTATTCTGTCTGAGACAGGTCCCCCACCAGGATGAGGCCAAGTGGTCTTCCTGGTGACAGCTGCACATGATGCGATGATCCCTAGACGACCGCAGCCTCCCCTTAGTAACTGATGTGGTCTGGCCATCTGGGAACTAACTCATTGGCTCCTGCCCTAAACTGGTTCCCTCTCGAGCCTATAGAAGTCTTTCCAAAACTCCTCCTGTCAAGGCCTCTCTGCAACTCGCAGTCTGGTGTGCTACGAAGGTTCAGGTTGAGGCAAGGTCTTTATTTTTTTACTTTTTATTTTTTATTTTTTTTGAGACGGAGTCTCACTCTGTCACCTAGGCTGGAGTGCAATGGTGTGGTCTCGGCTCACTGTAACCTCTGCCTCCTGGGTTCAGGCAATTCTCCTGCCTCAGCCTCCTGAGTAGCTGGGACTACAGGCGCGTGCTACCACACCCAACTAATTTTTGTATTTTTAGTAAAGATGGGATTTCACTATGTTGGCCAGGCTGGTCTTGAACTGCAGACCTCATGATCTGCCCGCCTTGGCCTCCCAAAGTGCTGGGATTACAGGCGTGAGCCACCATGCCCTGCCAGCAGCAGGCAAGGTCTTTTGAGAGAAAGGCTGAGCTGGGAGTGAGGGCGGGACTCGGGGGAGATGTAGCCCTCTTGCCTCGTGCCGTCCTGCGCGCTGCAGTTCACGTTGGCCCCGTGCTCCAGCAGGATGTTCAGGATGTCGGTCCAACCCCGGGAACAAGCCTCATGCAGGGCTGTGTAGCCAGCATTGTCACGGTGATTCACGTCCTCACTGTCTTTCTGGAGGCAGTAGAGAACAACATCCTGTGGGGACAGGGACAACTCCATGAGCAAAGAGAGGGCTAATTCTTGAACTTATATAACCCTGAGACTCAAAGCTCCCCAAAAATCTGAGGAGTCTCAGAGCCTGCTCTTTATAGCAGGGACACACCTCAAAATCTTTCATTAACAACATCAGTCCTGAGCCACCATTGCCAGCACCCCAGCTCTGGGCTGTTTCCTTGGCAGCAGAGAGACTTCTTTTTTTTTTTTTTTTCCGAGACAGAGTCTCACTCTGTTGCCCAGGTTGGAGCGCAGTGGTGCGATCTCTGCTCACTGCAGACTCTGCCTCCTGGGTTCGAGTGATTCTCCTGCCTCAGCCTCCCAAGTAGTTGGGACTACAGGCGCACACCACGCCTGGCTAATTTTTGTATTTTTAATAGAGACGGGGTTTTACTATGTTGGCCAGGCTGGTCTTGAGCTCCTGACCTCAGGTGATCCGCCCACCTTGGCCTCCCAAAGTGCTAGGATTACAGGCGTGAGCCACCGTGCCTGGCCTGGAAAGACACTTTTTTATGGCCAAGGACACTCATCTGGGTGGTGGTATTTGAGGTGAGGTCCTCAGAGAGGCTGACCTGCCCACCCAGAGCTCAAGCACTCATATCTCGACTCCCTGAGCCTGGCAAGCCAGCCCCAGACCAGGGAAATGAGATGTGGTGGACAGCACAGTTTCTGGTGGCGATTCAAGAATAAGGAAGACAATTGTTTTAAGGACTATCCCTGGATGCGGGTCTCGGCAGGACCAGTGTTCAAGCCAGGACAGTCAGTGCTAGCCCTCCCCTCAAATCAGGGTAATCCAACAGGCCAGGTGCAGTGGCTCATGCCTGTAATCCCAGCACTTTGGGAGGCCGAGGCGGGCAGATCACCTAAGGTCAGGAGTTTGAGACCAGCCTAGCTAACATGGCGAAACCCCCTCTCTACTAAAAATACAAAAATTAGCCCGGTGTGATGGCAGGTGCCTGTAATCTCAACTACTCAGGAGGCTGAGGCAGGAGAATCCCTTGAACCCAGGAGGCGGAGGTTGCAGTGAGCCAAGATCACACCATTGCACTCCAGCCTAGGCGACAGAGCAAGACTCCATCTCAGAAAAAAAAAAAAAAAAAAAAAAAAAAAGGAAAGACAAAAGGATAATCCAATACTGCCATTCATCACCTTTATTTCAACAAAACCACACCAAAAAAAAAAAAAAAAAAAAAAAAAAAAAAAAAGGATAATCCAATACTGCCATTCATCCACACTTTAATGACTGCCTTCCTTGGGTTGAGATGATGAAAGCACTACAGGTGGGACCCCAGGGACTTGCAGCACCCTAGCTAGCATGGGCTGAAGCTGGGTGAATGAAGTGAGGAGGGGAGAGGCCGGCAGCATTAATGGCTGCCTGGCTTTCCAAACAACGGCCCCACAGCTACACCACTGCCAGTCCTCTCTGGGGCACTGGGGAGATGGGCCACTCCACCTTTCTGCCTGGCAGCTCACAGGCTAGCTGGCTAGAGTGACTGTATGTGCAGCCTGTGTCGGGGGTGCTGCTGCCTGTATATAGAAACTGTCAAGCTCCTTTACCTGGGAGAAAGCATAAGGCTTCCCACCTTCCTCACCAGTGCAGATGTTTGCCTTTTCCCCAAGGCCTAAGAGGGCTCCTTCCACCCTCCCTGACAGGCTGCCTTAGTGCTCCAGCCCTGTCCCATTGGCCCCTCTGATGGTTTCCTGTTTGCTGGTTTTGCCCAGGGTACAAGACAATTAAATTAACCTCGACGGCAGGGATTGGTCTTCATTTTTGTTTTAGGTCTCCCTTGGCAGCTATCCAGGCACCCACACTAGGTGCTTATGAAAGATGGGCTGCTTGCCAGTGAGACACTGTCACGTCAGCTCCCCAGGGCTGACCAGTCTGGCTGGGAGTGTGGCTGGTGTGAAACAAGTCAGGTATAGGGATGGAAAGCCTTAAAACCAAAGGCACACTCTGTAACTAACCCAGCAACTCCACTGCTAGGAGCAAACCCTGAGGAAATAATCCATATGGTAGGTAAAGATACACACTCAACAAAAAGTGGGGAACAATGGCAACGTCCAAGGTGTAACTGAATTATGGTGAATGAGTCAGTCTTCCACCTACCCCGGCACTTGGGAATCAAAAGACCTTGGTTTGAATTCAGACTCATATACGTAGTAGTTGAGTGATCTTGGACATATCATTGAACACTCCAAAGCCTTGATTTTCTCACCTATAAAATGGGGATAATAAATCTACTCCCTCGGCTTACTGTGAAGATTAAATAATATAAAGTAATCAGGCTCTTAACATGACAAAAGAAGTGCTCAATAAATCCCAGTTTCCTTTCTTGCCTTCTTTCTAATCTATAGGGAAGTAGTATAAGGTGGGGTTAGCTCAGCCTTGCCCCTCAAACATGATCCTGGCCCCTCTGAGAGGCAGAAATGAGGGGAAGCTGGAGGAGGAGATGAAGAGTGAGCAATAAATCACCCCTTGTTCCTTTCTGAGTTGGGAAACCACCATACAGAGAAATTCAAGACAACGTGGATATCCAAAAATTGCGTTCCTGGTCTAGGAATATACTGCATGATACCGTTTCAATTGCATTTATCCCAAATTGACATTCAAACAAGTTTGCATTCTCACACACTGAGATCCGAGTGATGAGGGGCAAGGCAGTCCCAGGGCAATCTGGGGTGTAGAGGGAGGCCAGCCTGGGTTCAAGCACCAGAAAAGCCCATGGAGAAAAGCTTCTTCATAGATGCTCAGACCAACGGCTTCCTGTGGTCGGTCGAGAATTCCCTTACCTTATAGCCAAGACGTGCCGCCCTCTGCAGGAGGGTCTCACCAGCATTTTTGTTCACTATGAGCCGACGTGCCTCTGGGGGGATCTGCCGGGCTGTAGGTGACTCCGAGGCCTCCTCTGAGCTGGCACTTCGGGACTTAGAGGGTGTACATGGTTCTGTGGGTTTCACTGGGGTGGGAGATTTGGGAGATCGTGTCTTCTGCTGGCTCCAGCGACCTTTGCCCTGGAAAGCAGAGATGCAGTCCTAGGTCAGGTTAGGCCAGGCAGCTTATCCATCCACCAGGGTCATCACTGCCTTCAGCGGCCAAGGCCATCTCACCTTATCTGTGTCCATGCTGTACTTTGCTTACACTACCCCAAATGGCCGAGACTACTGTCAGGTTTGAGGCCAGAGGCTGGGCCAGGCGCTAATCATGTGAAGTCTCTCCAGGATCAACACAGGTTCCCGTGAGTTTCTAGCCGGTGGGGAGATATGAAGAGGCTCAAATGCTCAACCCCATAAACCAAGGAATGCCATGGGAATTGTAAATCAGAGATTGAGAGGATATCCCAGCTTCTCTCAAGACTCTGCATGCCTTCTTTACCTGCCTCAATCACCATTTATGGAGGCTTTTACAAGTCCTGTCTGTAAATAGGCAGAAGCAAACTCGGAGAGTGAAATGAGACAGCTATCTTTTTTTTGAGACTGAGTCTCACTTTGTCACTGAGGCTGGAGTGCAGTGGTGTGATCTCTGTTCACTGCAACCTCTGCCTCCCAGGTTCAAGGGATTCTACTCCCTCAGCCTCCTGAGTAGCTGGGATTACAGGCATGTGCCACCACGCCCAGCTAATTTTTGCATTTTTAGTAGAGACGGGGTTTCGCCATATTGGCCAGGCTGGTCTCGAACTCCTGACTGCAAGTGATCCGCCTGCCTTGGCCTCCCAAAGTGCTGGGATTACAGGCATGAGCCACCATGCCAGGCCAGCTATCTTTGACTAGTCACAGCTGCTAAAGCTTCACACTTGAGCAAAAAACCTTCCTTCCACATCCAGCCCTCACAGAATGTTCCCATCTTCCATCACACTGTGTCCCCATATCATACTGAGACCCCCCTGGGGTGGCAGAAAGATCTAACGCAGACCTGGGTTTGAACCTTGTCTCTGCTATCCCCTAGCTACAAGATCTGGGGCAAGGCCCTCCCTCTCCGAGCCCCATTTTCTTCCTTGCAGGGTCTTTGAGATAATGAACAGGGAACAGGGTAGGTGCTCACAAAACACTAGGAGAGGCTGGGAGTGGTGGCTCATGCCTGTAATCCCAGCAGTTTGGGAGGCTAAGGCAGGCAGATCAGTTGAGGGCAGGAGTTCAAGACCAGCCTGGCCAACACAGTGAAACTCAGTCTCTACTAAAAATACAAAAAATGAGCTGGGTGTGGTGGTGCACGCCTGTAGTCCCAGCTACTCGGGAGGCTGAAGCATGAGAATCGCTTCAGCCCGGGAGGGAGAGGTTGCAGTAAGCCAAGACTGCAGCACTGCACTCCAGCCTGGGTGACGGAGTGAGACTCTGTTTCAAAAAAAAAAAAAAAAAAAAGAAAGAAAGAAAGAAAAGAAAAGAAAGAAAGAAAAAAATGCCAGGCATGGTGGCTCACACCTGTAATCCCAGCAATTTGGGAGGTTGAAGCAGTTGGATAACCTGATATCAGGAGTTCGAGTCTAGCCTGGCCAACATGGTGAAACCCCATCTCTACTAAAAGTACAAAAAATTAGTCAGGAGTGGTGGCAGGTACCTGTAATCCCAGCTATTCCGGAGACTAAGGCAGGAGAATTACTTGAACCTGGGAGGCGGAGGTTGCAGTGAGCCCAGATAGAGTCATTGCATTCCAGCCTGGGCAACAAGAGTGAAACTCCACCTCAAAAAATAATAATTAATAAATAAATAAAAGAGATTCTCAACCTGGAGTTGATGCTATAATTGGATGAAGCTTTGGGGGGCACTGGGAGAGGTGGCATACTTTGCATGTGGGAGAGACAGGAATCACTGGGGAAGGCCAGAGGGTAGACTGTGGGAGTCAGCCTCTAAGATGGCCCCAATGATCCCCTGATCTTCGTGCTCTTATGTACCCTCCTCCTACAGTAAGTAGGGCTGACCCGTGTAACCAACAGGAGACTGCAGAAATGACAGTAGGTGCCTTCTGAGGCTAGGGTCTAAAAGACACTGTGGTTTCTGCCTTGCTGTCTTTTGGATCACTCGCTGTGGGGAAAGCCGGCTGCCGTGTCCTGGGGACCCTTGAGCAGCCCGTTGGAGAGATCCATGGGGCAGGGAGAGGAGGCCTCCTGCGAACAACCAGCATCAATGTGCCAGCCATTCGAGCAAGCTACCCCAGCAGTAGATCCTCCAGTCATGCCCTCAGAGGAATACTGCCCTGGCTGACACCTGACTGCAACCTCACGAGAGACCCCAAGCCAGGTCTAGCTAAGCCCCTGAATTCCTGACCCCAAGAAACTGTGTGAGATAATATATGCTTATTGTTGTGTAAAGCTGCTAAGTTGTGTAGTCATTTGTTATACCCCAATAGATAACTAGTATTTCCGACTTATCCAAACCCCTCAGAACATCAAGGTCTCACTTCAATCCTCTGTCTTCTATCATATTCCACAACACTCTAGGCCCTCTTCCTCTGTGTAGCCAGAATACCAAGTCTGAACCATGTAATCTGATGCCTCACTTTCTTCTTTCCATCCAGTTTCATGCATAAGTCTCACCTCTCCTGCTAGATTTTAAGCTCCTTGGGGACAGGGTTCATATTGTCATCATTTTTCTGTTCCTTACAGCACTTAACTCAGGGCTGGACACATTAATATTATTATTTATTTATTTTTTGAGACAGAGTCTCGCTCTGTCACCCAGGCTGGAGTGTAATGGCACGATATCGGCTCACTGCCTTCAAGCAATTCTCCTGCCTCAGCCTCCCAAGTAGCTGGGACTAAAGGCCCCCACCACCACGCCCGGTTAATTTTTGTACTTTTAGTAGAGACGAGGTTTCACCATGTTGCCCAAGCTGCTCTCAAACTCCTGATCTCAAGTGATCCACCTGCTTCAGCCTCCCAAAGTGCTGGGATTACAGGCGTGAGCCACCACACCTGGCCACATTATTACAACAAATATTTGTTGACCTGTTTCAAGCCAGCTGTATACAGAGCCCTGGATGGCCAGAACAGTTGCCTAAAAAGATATTGAGTCAGGGAAGGAGCAGTAGAGAAGAGAAGATGAGGGCTCAGGGCATTTGTTTCCTCTGGTTAATCCCAAGACAGTGAGAAGCCATGATCAGTCCCCATCCTGAAAGGGCAGAGAGGTACAAGCCCTAGCAGGAAGGCACTAGCTATGAGGGTACAATGCTGCTTTATCTCCAGGAGGATAGAGTGTACAATGGCAGGACTGGAGGATGCTGGGTAAAGTACCAGGGTTTCGCTAAGCCAAGCCAGGAACCAAAGGGTGACTCTCCTTTCTGGGGGCCAAAGCTGCCAGAAAGCAGCAGCGAGGCAAGTTGCCTGGGAGGGGGAGGAGCAAGAACAAGTGGGGGGACCCCTCCCCCCACTCCTTCCCCCTGGCTCTGAGCCCCTGTGGGAAGAAGCCCTTGGCCAATGCCCCGCTTTTAGTGTTGCAGGAGCGTTCCCCGCCCTCCCCCACCCTTGCTTCCTGCTACAAAGCCCCATGCCATGGGGGCAACCGGAGCAGGTGGTGGTGGCTGGGAGAGAAAGGAAGGTGGGAGGGGGAAAGGAAGGTCATGGGGAGGGGCAAAAACCTCTCCAGGAGAACACTGCAGCAGACACACTGCCAGGCAGAATAACCAGACAGAAGCATGCGAGTGTGCTGCTGAATCTTGGGCGCTGGTTACCTTTGTGTGGGCTGGGGCCATCCATCTGAGTGTCTGGGGAGGAACGGGGGAAGGGGAGGGGAAGCAGGAGCCTGTGACGCCCACCTTTTCCCAGTGCTGCTTGTGGTGGCGGCATTTTCTGTCCAACTGCCCCCCTCCCCCAGTGTCTCCCGGATACAAACAGAAGCCACCCATTCAGAGCCTGAGAGACATATGGAACGAGCCAGGGCTCCAGAGGCAGACAGGCCTATTTCACATCCCAACTGCATCACTCAGGAAACCCAGTAACTTCACACCAGTCCCTTAACCTCCTTGAGCCTCAGTTTCCTCACTACAAAATGAGTATAATAAAGGTGCCTACCTCCCAAGTGCCACTGTGGGAATTAAGAGCGATAATGTGAATGAACTGCTTGGCACAGACCAGAGTTCCCTGCTCTTTCCCTGGGCCCCTGTCCTCCCACTCTGGGGGGTCAAGGGAATGAACGTTGCTACCCTGCCATGCCATGCTTCTATTCCCTCATTCTTGCTTCCGCCCGAAGCACAATGATGCACAGCAACCCTCAGAGAGTACTTTATGGTTATCAAAGCCTGTCACAGACATTGCTTCCTTTGTTCCCCCAAGCACCCTTGTGAGACAGAAAGGGCAAGAAGCAGCAGCTCCATTCTTCAAGATGAGGAAATAAGCTTGAGTCTTGTCTGAGCTGGAAAGAGGTTCTGGGAGGGGGAAGGGGAAAGGAGGGGAGACGAGCACCTGGGGCTCCCACCTCTTGCCAGTGCCATTTGGGGATCCCAGTAAGAATCATGACCACCAAAGCGCTAGGTGTGATGGCTCACGCCTGTAATTCCAGCACTTTGGGAGGCCAAGTCAGGCGGATCACTCGAGCTCAGGAGTTTGAGATCAGCCTGGCCAACATGGTGATTTTTTGCATTTTTGTACTAAAAATACAAAAAATAGCCGGGCGTGGTGGCAGGCGCCTGTAATCCCAGCTACTCACAAGGCTGAGGCACGAGAATCGCTTGAACCCGGGAGGCGGAGGTTGCAGTGAGCCGAGATCGTGCCACTGCACTCCAACCTGGGCAACAACGCATGACTCTCTCTCAAAAAAGAGTGAGAGAGAGAGAGAAAAAAATTAGAATCACGACCACCAAAACAAGCTGAAGATGGGCTTTTGTTTTTGGCTGTCAATGACAAACACATATTATGAGTATACATTTGAACCTGGACCCTCACTTCTCTCAAATGTAAAGTTCACCCAGGTTGAGGACTGATTTTTTCTAAGGTTACAACATGCAACCTAACACCAATGGCATGAACATCAGACCCAAAAGAGATGTTGATTTGGGATGAGGGTTTTAGGAATGCTTGCCTGGCTGTTGATTGGTAACTGCCCACTCAGTGCCTCTTATGCTTCCGTGAGAAGCTAACGAACTGGGGAGCAGGGGAGGGGAGGAGTAGCTAGAACCTGGGCCCCAGTGGAATTCCTTCAGCCTCACCCTCAATCAACCTTTGTCTGGACCTTACAATCCTTCCTCTTACAAGTTGTTTTCTACCTTGATTGACTCAGAATGTCTCATGATTGGTTTCCAGTAAGTTAAACCCAGACAAAAGCTTCTTGATTGGATGTTAACAAGCTACTGAGGCTAACATCCTGCCATATTCTTTAATTCTTCCTTAACTCAAAGAAGATCTAAAGATTGTAGAGGAAAAGTCATCATGGGCCAGAACTTATAGTTAACTATAACTTTAGTTCCCATTCTTCAAACCCACCCCCAACCCTTCGAGAACTAGTTTGAGAATGCCTTACTAAATATGGGTTAATTTGATCCTCCCCATATCCCCCCATCCCTCCCTCCCTCCTGCCTCGTCTGCCCACCTCCCACACACACACCTTATACAATACCCCTTGATGGCTACGCACCTTTACCTCTTCTGAGACGGTTGCCATGTGCTTGGTCTTGCACTTTCGTTTTCCTGATGGTTTTTCTGAATTTTCAAGGCAGGCTGGCTCCTCCAGGTTATTTGGGAGGAAACCATTTGGTGAATCCGAGATCCCCTGGGCTTTGTTGGGCAAGAGAAGGTTCCTGTTCCTGAGGCGGTGCTCCAAACTTTGGGAGGAGGAAGTCTTCTGCTTACGGGCCTTTAAATCTGAAGGCAAGAAACAGGAAAAGAACGGACGTCAAAGAAATGGAACACAGAAAAGCAACGCCTTCCTCTAAGATGAATCAGAGGACTTTGGGGATTAGAACTGCAGTGCAAAGTTGTATAACTATCAGCTATCGATATCCAGTGCAGTGCTGACTATTCCACTAAATGTTTCTTGAATGAACATACCATACCTCAACATCGAAGTCCCTCCTCTACAAGCAGGAGACAGCTCCCAGCCCTGCCAGCAGGGGGCGGCCCATCTGGCTAGCCCTAAGATGAAGGTAATTTTAACAGGATTTTACCCAGAGCAAATCAGAATTTCTTTTCACTTTTTTCCCCATTCCCTTTGTCTCTTTCTCCAGTCCCATATGAAAGCAAATCTGGCGGTCCTGCTGACATTAAGTATCAAGTACATGGGGAACAGGGAGGAAAAGGTAGAAGGCTGCCTTCATGGCCTCAGCTCTACTCACCTGACTGTCCCATTTGTCACTCTCCGAGGACACAAAAATCAAAGCTACAGGAACTCCCTGAAACTAGAAGGCACCATGAGCCTACTTAGCTGGCAGTCAAGGGCAGAAACCTGCTGCCCTTTCTGGGTGAAAATCAAGTCACTGGTATCACTAGAACACACCAGCAACATCTCTAATTTAGCCACAGCTTGCTGAACAAAGCACATTCTAATTTCAAAAAGGCCTGCCGGGAACTCCATTATCAAGAGCTTCATCCCACAGGGTCTGTCCTAACCCCGTGTGTAGGGGCAACTGATTGTGTGTTTAGCCTCGTCTCTCAAGATTAGTGCTGCTTGGCTTGGCCGTCAATTGTGTGATTGGCTGGGCTCAAGTCCTAATTGCTCTGAGCCTCAGTTGCCATATCTGTAAAATGGGGAGAATATAATCTACATCACAAGAGTGGTATGAGAATGAAATAAGGTAATACATGCAAAATCCCTTTAAAAAAGTATTATAACAAGTAAGGAATCATTATTCTGTTATTTAAGCACAAGCTCTTGAGGTGGACCCATGCCCATGTGTTTTCCTCCCCACGAAATGAACACCATGCCTAGCAATTAGTGAAATGAAGGGACTGAGATTGAAGAGTTCTCAACTCGCCTCCCCCAACCCTGACATGGGCTCTCACATGTGACATTGTCAAAGGCAGATCCAGATGTGGGAGCCATCATTCCAGCATGAGGAGTTGGCTGCAGCTTATGCACAGTTCCTGGAAGGCCAGCTGTCATGCCACCCCTTTCTCCCAACTAGCCTCAGCCCACTAGTGGGGCCCCATAGCCTGTCCAGGAATTGCAGTACTACACGGTCTCTAATAGCACTTCCAATCAGAATGTTCTAAACTCGGGCTTTTGATGCAACACATTTGGGCTGAGACAAAAGAGGAAGGAACAGAACCATGCCTTGTGAGGACTCCAGGAAACATGAAGAAGTTGTATTACAGTGTTCAATGCTACAGGCAAAGAAACAGCCCACCTTGTTTATCCAGGGCAGGGCAGGCTCGGGTGTTTATTCAATTGTAGAGAAGTGAAGGCTTTATAAGTAGCCTACAAAGGACCAGACAGCGGAGGTGGCAGGTGTGTGAGTGGAAGTGGCTCTGCCTACCTGCTCCGCAGGTCAAGATGGGACATAACCAAAACCAGGATGAAAAGAAAGTCAGGAGGCTCAGACAGAAGTGTAACCTGCCTCATTTTGGCCTTTGCCAAATTCCTGCACGAAGATGCCATCATCAGATCTGGAGAAAAGTGACCAGACCACGTGCCAAATCCAGCTGCCTCAATGCAAAACCCTTAGACACATCCATGGAGGAAGAATGACCTACGTTCCAACAACTGAAGCTCCCCCCAAATCAAGTAGGATGCCTTGATTGGTGGTGTTCTCTGCATTACTGGAGGTGTGTTCATGAAAAGGCTGGCTGGCTACCTGTCAAGAATGCTGTGGAGATCTCTATCTCTGCATTGGGTGGCAAACTGGACCAGGCAACCTTGAAGGTCCTTCTGGTTCCAAGTGCCAATACGTTCCACAGGAAGCTTCCATGCTAGGAAACCAGGTGCCATTAGAGAAGATTAGGTGATACACAAAAGCTCCTCTTCATCCTAACACAAGTAGCTGAGGCCAACAGCTTGACAACTTATTCCTGACCAATCTATTATTGCTCTAGCAGAAGAAAGAGAAAATTGCTCCCACTCTGTCACATAGTTGATGAAAATTAGCTCAATTACTCTCTTGAACGTAGAGATGGGTATCATATATATCTCCACTTAAACAGAGCTGGAAATGAGGTTAAACCATCTTCGCATTATAGCAAACCTGGAATCTACTACCTACTCAATATGAGGTTATTCAGTTTTAGCTAAAAAGGAGACAGCGGATGTTTACTGGCAGCTCAGGATGAATACATTATAGGAGGCAATCAATTGCTGCTTCCAGGGTAGAGGTCAGAGAACGAGAGTGAGAGACAGAGGTGTTCTTATAAAACTCAGAGATGTGCTTTTTGCTTATTTAGAAATCCACTATAGGAATGGGCCTGAACAGTACTCAGTGGAACATACTGATACTAGCGTCTTGTGACAGTCTGTGCCTCCAGGAAGGTATATCACAGCATTTGATGTGATCAGAGAAAGCCTGGTTTTCTCTTTGGGTTGCCTGCCTTCTTAACTCAGGTCCAACAAAAATGATGCCACTTTGGGTCACCTCAAAGCTTCACTCCGTCTCTGAATAATCACTGTGGCTTTAACGGATAAAGCAATGCTGTGCCCGTTTCTACTTGAAGTTCTTCTGTTGGTTTGAAGAACCCACTGTACTTCTTTTTAGCTTAGAGGCTGCAAGTATCCCAGGAAAGGCAGCCGATGCCCTCTGTCTTCTTGAACCCAAGATTCTAGGAGAGAGAACCTGTCCTCCCAAAAGACTCGACTCCCTCAAGCCAACCAGAGAACTCCCTGGTATCCAGTTGTCCCATGCCAAGGATGTCACCGCGGCCTTGCCCACAGGTTCAGACTTCTATAAGAAACTGGAGGGCTTGGGCCTTCATGTCCTCCGCTCACCTGCAGGCCAATCCGAACTCATTCAATGTCAACCCAAAGCCAAAGGCTGGGAGCTGGAGTTGAGTGACCCCCTCTGGCAGCTGGAGATCATAGCACCGGGTTTCTCTGGGTCCCGAAGCCTTTGGCTGGCGTAGAGATGCCCGAGGGTTCCCAGAAGCCAAACAGGCTGCGGCGACAGCAGAGCCCTGGCCAGCCTTACCTGCTCTCCCTTTCCGCCGCTGCTCATCTTCTTGCTCCGTCAGGTACTCCCCAGTCTGATATTTTCGGCTCTTCTGCCGTCTTCGTTTCTTCCTCTTCAGCAGGCCCTCCTCCTCCTCTTCCTCCTCCTCCTCATTGGTGTCCCACATTTGCCGGGCAGCCTCTGTCCTCCAGGGCATTTCTCGGGCTCGCCACAGGTGCCTTCGACCCTGGCTCAGCAGAGACTTGTCCTGGGCATGGTGGCTGCGATACTGGGTGTCCCGTTGGGTCTTTCTCACCTTTCGACGCTTAGCTGGGGTGGGGGTTACCTCTTCTTCTTCTTCTGTGGGGAAGACTTCCTGGCTTCCCATGTCACTGTCTGCCATGCCAGCAAAGGAGCTACAGATGCTTCCTGTGGACGGGATGTACAGAGGATGGTCAGGTACTTCTTCAAAGGACAAAGCATGGTGTCGAAGTGAATGCCCTGGACTAGGAGTTTGAAGGTCTGGGTTCAAGTTCAGGCTCTGCCAGTAATAAGCTGTACCCTTCGGGAAAGTTCCTTCAGTGCAGTCTCCTCATCTATAAAATGGGGATACTGTTCTCCCCTTACTGACCTCACAGGGCTGTTTTGAGGCTCAAATAAGATCTTTCACGCATATGTGCTTTACAGAGTCCAATATACCAGACAACATCAAGTATTAAAAACATACACCCTTACTCATCCACGTTACAGTGTTACCTGAATTCACACCCAAAACGCTTGCTTAGCTCTTATAAGGTGCCAAGTATTTTGTAAAGGGCAGGAGAGGGCCACGGGTCCCTGGGAAATCAGGGGCCAGGAGAGGGCAATTGGGGTCTCAGACAGGGCAAGGGAGGACATACTCCTTTTGTGGCACCGCCAATCTTGGGGACAGAGCCACCCAGGCCAAGCAGAATCATCACAAGAGAAAAGTCTCAAGAAAAGCAAAGCAAGAAGGAGTCCCTTTCCTGTGATCTGTGAGAGTCTGGTTGGGTCACGCCCAAATGCACCCAGGCACACCCACTTCCCTTAAATTGACCCCACCTCCTCCTGACTTGCCAAGAGTTCAGGGGTGGAGCTTCCTCCCAGGCGCCTCCCTCCACCGGGTTGTAGCTGTTCCTCACTGCTGGGCAAGCGCTTCCCCCTCCTCCCCCACCACCCCAGGATGGATGATACCTTTCCTGCCTTCCTCAGCCACCTTGCCAAGAGGCCATTTTCTCTCTCCACTCTTTCCTTCAACTCTGCTAACAACAAAAGTACATCCTAAATTGGCCTGGTTTCACACTACAGGAGATTTGACACCTTCCTCCTCGGAAGCAGCTGTGAGATACCACCATCTTTCTCCCAAGGCCCAGCTATTAACTCAACAGTCCCCAGACCCAAGCAAGGTCAGCAGAAGAAAGAAATGGTTCGAGGCAAATAGAGTAAGTAGCCCTTGACCAAAGCTTCAAGTTAGTCAGACTGCTAAAAGACAGCAAATAACAGCACACTTTCCGTTATATAGGCCAGGCAAAACAAAGTGCTCTGGTTAATCTAATATTCTGGTTAGTACAGAATCATCATAGAGATCACAAAGGAATCACCAATTTCCAAAGAATCAAATACGGTACAATGTGTTTAACACTAAAATGGAACTGGCTGTAATGTAGTCGCTCTTTGATAATTCAGAGGACACTTCAGGATTTTGCAAGGCCTCCAGGCCATCATTATGAGCCCCAATTACCACCTCACTTGCCATGTGCTAAGGTGCTAGTTAATAGAATGTCAGATAACTGAGTTTACACTAGACCTTGCTTCCCCATTCTATCCAATTTGCATGGAAATTAGGTGAATGGGGCAACCATCTCCAGCCCTGGATACCAGTGTGGAGGCTAGCAGAAGGTAGTGGTGGCTAGAAAGGGCTAGCTTCTTTTAGTCCCTGGAGGTTGACCAATACAAATTCAGGGAGCCAAATGTGATTCTGCCAGCCCTGACAATTCAATGACTTTTCCAATTTTGAGGATGCCTGTCACACAGGGCAATAAGACCAAGGTCAAAAGTTAAAAGTCTGTGCCTGAGATTGGCCCCAGTAATGACAAGGTGCCAAAGCTTGGAGTTAAACAGGCTTTCCTGAGTGGCACAGGCCTTACCTCTTTCCACCATCAGCTCCCAACAAGAGATACCAAATCCCTGCTCTGAAAAGTTGAACAAATAGTCCTCAAACAGTGGGAAATATTTGAGGACTCTTTGTCCCCTGCCCCCACCCAGGGCTCTCTTATCTCTGCAAGGAGCTGGGCATTGTGGGGCACAGCGAATCAAATTTCCAACTTGACACCTGGGCCCATGGTAAAACTGCTCAACCAGATTTCGATCTCTCTTTTCATAGAAGATGCCTAGAGGGGCCATCACCTGAGTCTCACTCACCAGACTGACTGCGCGTGCGGGTGCTCAGAACCACAGGAATAAAGTCACGGAAACTGCTCTTTGCTTTCTTTTCCAAGGAACCTGGAGTGATGTGTGGTTTGGGGACAGAAGGCAGCAATGTTACAATCAAAGCCTAAAGACCAGAAAGCCCACCTATAAGGCTCAGGGGGGAAGATGAGAAAGAGTTTGTGTTTACCCTGTGGTTACTCTGGGTTACATTTATTTGGTCCCCTTACATGACCATCACATATGTGTCTCTTGTAGACAATGCATGGTTCCAGGTGGTTTTTAAAAACTGGGAGTTTGGTCACTTTTGCTGATATCAGAAAAGGCAGTGCACAGTATCAACTGGATGGTGTGCCAGAAAGTAGGAAAGTAGGAGGCCCCACTGCCCTTAGGACTCTGAGGTTGCTGCACCTCAACAAAGTTCTGCTGGGCATGGTGGCTCATGCCTGTAATCCCAGCACTTTGGGAGGCCGAGATGGGTGGATCACCTGAGGTCAGGAGATCGAGACCAGCATGACCAACATGGTGAAACCCTGCCTCTACTAAAAATACAAAAATTCGCCGGGCATGGTGGTGCTCACCTACATGTAGTCCCAGATACTCGGGAGGCTGAGGAAGGACAATCACTTGAACCCGGGATGCAGAGTTTGCAGTGAGCTGAGATTTTGCCACTGCACTCCAGCCTGGGTGACAGAGTGAGACTCCATCTCAAAAAAAAAAAAAAAAAAAAAAAAGTTCTACCTGAGCTGGAGCAGGTCACAGAGGAGGGCAACCTCAGTGAATCTTGGAGGATTGAGTGAGGCAGGAAGATGGGAACAAGGAGCCAGTGAACAGAGAAAAACGGCTAAGAACAGATCAGGCCGGATGCGGTGGCTGACGCCTGTAATCCCAACACTTTGGGAGGCTGAGGCAGGGAGATAGCTTGAGCCCAGGAGTTCAAGACCAGCCTGGGAAACATGGTGAAACCCCATCTCTTCAAAAACTACAAACATCAGCCAGATGTTTGTGAGTAGCTAGCACATGCCTGTGGTCCCAGCTACTCAGGAGGCTGAGGTGGGAGGATCACTTGAGCTCAGGAGGTTGAGGCTGCAGTGAGCCGAGATTGTGCCACTGAACTCCCTCTAGCCTGGGAAACAAAGCGAGACTCTGTCTCAAAACAAAAAATCAAAACAAAACCAAAAAAATAGACCAGAAGTGGCAGGTCATAGTCATGTCAGATGGGCAAGACCATGCACCTGGACTCCTATGCTCAGGAATGCTGGGGATTCTCTCCCTGATAAGGGTGCCCAGAAACTATTAGTGGCAAAACGGACAGGTTAGGGACACATACCAGCCCCTTCATCCCAAACATTCTGTGTGTCCCTAAGTGACAATAAACGTTTAAGATTTCTCTAAACTCTCCTAGCTAACTAGCTAACTATTGATTTTCATCTTTTCAGAATGGCAGTGTTCCAGTATACCCAAAGAAGACAGCATAATGAACCCCCATTCTGTGGTTTTTGTCTAAATTCTCCGTAAACTTGTTTCTTTGAGCCTAGACCCATCGCGGGGAAATGGGTCGGCTACTGTGTTGTGGGCCTGGTGTTTGTGTCTGAAAACCACTTCCTTCAGCCTTATTCTAGCGCCCAGGGGGAGCAAAAGGGGCCCCGATCCTTGCTCGCTCACCTTAGACTTCAGAGGGGTCAATCATATCTTCTTTCCACACTGAAGAAGTCTCACTTTTCCAGAGTGAAGGAGTCAGCGCCTGAGCCCCTCTGCCCTCACCACCGTGCCCTGGGGATCCCTCTGCAGGCCAGCCCAGAGGGCCAGGGCCTCGGGGCCTACCTTCCTCGTGGCCTTCGGCTCGTTTTCCTGGAGACTGGGACTCCGGCTTTGTCGGCTTCCGGTGCTTGTGCTTTCCCCTGACTCCATTGTGCTCTTTTCCTGAATCTGAAGCCCCCCTGGGGCTTTTCTTGGTGGATTCCTGGGGGTCACTGGGCAGCTTCCGGCACTGTGGAGAGGTAGAGGGTCAGGTCTGAGATCAGTTTCGCTTCTTAAGAAAGCTCTCCCAGGGTTGAGCTGTGTGTCCTGTTTCTGACCTGGAGGCATGAGCTGCCCAGAGTGGGGGACCAGGGGCAAGGGGCCGTGCGCTGCCTTCCACAGTGGGTGACAGGGGTTCTTTTGGACTGAGTCCAGGGCCCCAGCTAATCCCCGTAGGCGTCCACACCCCATCACTTTAAAGAGGTCTACAGAGTCTGCGTTCACAAGCCAGTGAATAAACACCCAAAGTCATTTTAAAAGGTGCAAAGTCAGGCCCCATACTCTCTGTACCCAAACACCAATGGAGAGACCGGCATTAAACAAAATGCCTCTTCTGCAAGTTGGGAGACTACATTGTTCAAATAACTTCACTGTGAATGGTATTGCACCAACAACTGAAAATAATTCTCAGTACAGGCCAACTCAAGAAAAATTGTCTCTTTTCACGTGTAAATTAATACCAGAAAATAGATTCAACTAAGGCAAGAAGAAAAACATGACACCGGAGCAATTCAAATATCCTCATATTTATAAAACCCAGTGAAAAGGCCCAGGCATTATTCATAATGCCACTTTATACTCTGCAGCACTTTCAGCTTGTCCAAATGCTCTCATCTCTATTATTGGATTTTATCCTCCCCACAACCCTGGGAGGAGAAGCTAATATTATCCCCACTGAACAGATAAGAAAACGGAGGCTCTAAGACAAAGGGTTGAATGACTTGTCCAGGGTAACACACAACCCCATGTGTCCACTGGCTCAGGGACTCTCACTTACCAGGCCAACCTGCAAGTTAGCACATTTGTGCTTGCAGTGAGAAAGACCCAGGATTGGGACTGGGACCTGGGGCTCCTGGCCCCCAGCCCAGGCCTCTGGGCATCAGCTCTCACTACCTATCTTCCCCGAATCACTTCCTTGGCTGCTTCAGCTCAGCTTCTCCCACACCCACTGCCTGGCACATCTAAGAGGCACAATGGCTGTGCTCACACACTACAAGGACACTCTCAGCCTAACAGTCACGTATTCTCATGAGCTTTGAGGTCTCTCTGTGCCACTAAACAAGAAATAGGGCAATGTAGGGATTTCCAGTATTCTAGTATGCAGGGAGTGCAGAATAAGCAAAACGTTGGAACAATAAAAGCAGGTCCAAGGAGGAAAGGAAGGGTTAAACTTGCTTGAGTTGTTTTTTCCCTAAGCTGACCCATGCCTCGCCTGCTAGAAGGTTATCGTGGTGTACCTCCAGCTAAGGGGATGGCACATACCTTACTGATGGAACATCTTCGGGGGCTGGGGCCTCCTAATTCTCTAGGGACAGGGAATCACTGCTACCCATCAAATTCCAGGACTCCTCCTATCCCATGAACTCCTCCTGCTTCTTATTTTCAGCAGAGGCCTGAACTAAAAATTCAAGTTCAGTTTCCCCCTTGGCTCGCTGCCAGTTCCTACAAACCAAAGTGTTAGGAGGAGGAAAGCATTGGTTGCAAAGAGGAAGATGGGGAACTGCTGCTTAAAAACTGACCAAGTATGGCTGGAGAAAAACTATTTTAAGTCAGGGGGAATAAAGTCAAATGCACATACATTTGAACATGTCCTGTTTATTTCTGAATATCATTCTTAGCTGGCTCTTTCAAATACAGGTCATTAACTTTTACTTCCTAAGACAAAAACAAGTAAAACAGAACATCTAGCAGGGTGCGGTGGCTCAAGCCTGTAATCCCAGCACCTCGGGAAGCTGAGGCGAGCAGATCACCTGAGGTCAGGAATAAAAATATTTCGCACACTCCAACTTATGCATGAAGTTGGGAGGATGGGGAGACTGTGTGAGACGAATGTTCTGGTTAACAGAGTTTTGAAATATTTTCCAAAGAATTTTCCAAGGAATGAGAAGACAATAAAATACATCCAACACCAAATGAAGCAGAACTTTCTCTCTGCTGGTGATGCAGAAGGCCCTTTAGGATCCCGAGAGGACTTGGGCAGGTGGTATTGGCAACAGGAGACTATTTTCATTCTTGGCCAAGCCCTGAAAGGGGCTGTTTCAAACAAAACCCTGATCTTAGTTTGCTGATCAACAGTTTCCTTCTCAGGAAGGTGGCATGTAAAAAAGAATGAAGTGATTTGCACTTTCAAAAAATAGACATTTACTAAATCCTTACAGGCAGTTGTGAAGAGCTGCTTCCAGGCCCCTGATCTTGTAATTTTATTCTCTGCCCTCTGCATTTGACAGTGGGCCCACTGAACTGTTCATCTAATATAGGATGGAGCAGTGCCCACCTGTCACTGAGTCATCTGTAAGACATAAGCTTCATGAGAGGCGGGACCACATCTATTTTGTTTGTAATGCTAACAATAACAGCAACCACTAACGCTAACTGAACAACTACTATGTGCCAGGTACTACTCTACACACTTATGTATATCGCATTCTTTAATCGTTTTTAAAATGAGAGCTTTACTGAGATATAATTTATTGAGACATACCATGCAATTCACTTAAGTGTAAAATTCAGTTGTTTTTAGTATAGTCATAGAGCTATGTAACCATCCCTACTTATCTAGCTCCAGAACTTTTTCATCAGCCTGAATGGAAACCCAGTACCCATTAAACAGTCACTCCCCAAATCTTCCATCCTCCCCAGCCCTAGGCAACCACTAGTCTACTTTCTGTCTCCATGGATTTGCCTATTGTGGACATTTTATATCATCATCTCATTTAATCTTCACAACAACTCTATGAGTAGGTACTATTATTGTCTTGTGTATAGATTAAGACACTGAAGGCCATGGAGATTAAGTAGCTTGACTAACAGCACACAGCTAGGAAGAGGTGGGGCCAAAATTCAAACCCAGGCTCTGTGTCTGGCTCCAGGGAGCATACTCCTCATCAATCTATGATACCACCCTCCTGAAGATGTATTCCCATTGCCTGGGAAGGACTGGCATACAGTAGCCATGCAACAAAAACTTGCAAAACATTCAGTGAAACAGTTCCATGGGCGGAGAGTAGAAGACAGTCAGGTGCAGTGGCTCACACCTGTAATCCCAGCACTTTGGGAGGCTGAAGCAGGAGGATCGCTTCAGCCCAGGAGTTTGAGACTAGCTTGGCTAACATAGTGAGACCTCGTCTCTACAAAAAATAATTAGCCAGGTATAGTGGTACACACCTGTGGTCCCAGCTACTTGGGAGGCTGAAGTGGGAGACTGCTTAAGCCCAGAAGGTGAAGGCTGCGATGAGCTGTCATCGAGCCACTGCACTCCAGCCTGGGTGACAGAGCAAGATCCTGACTCAAAAAAAAAAAAAAAAGGAAAGAGAGTAGAAAATAATATGGTATAGCTGGCCGAAGAAGAACATGGACTTTGGAACCAGAGACCAGAGTCGGAGTTCTAGTTCTGCCATTTAGTAGCTGTGTAACTGGGTAGTGTATCCTCTCTGAGCCTCTGTTTCATTTATTTTCTCACCTGTAGATTGGTGTAGCATTCACCTCATAGGGTTACTGTAAGGATTAGATAACATATGTAGAAACACAACTCTAACGACATGAATTATTATTCTTATTACCACCGAGTGCAGATGGCAGTTACCTGCCAAATGTTATATGCTCTACTGCGTCATGACCCACGTTCCTACTTCATGTGTCTCTGACATACCAGGGTGTGAGGTTTGTGAGTTAAAAGCCACCCAAATACCTATCTCAGGGGTTCTTAACCTGGAGTCCCTGGGTGGGCTTTGGGTGATGAGGCAGAGGTCAGGTCCATGAACCCCCTGAAATTACTGGCAAAATTTTGAGGTCACGTTTCTGGGAACAGGGTCCATAGCTCTCATTAGCTTTTCGAAATGGTCTATGGTCCAGAAAAGACCATAAACTTTTGCCACAGACAAATTCACAGTGCTCTAGCCGGAAATTTGTCCCTTAGTGTACATCAACATCCAACTTGAAAGCTTGCTAACAGAACTTCAAGCTGTCCTAGATTTTCAATAAACCCTATCCTCAAATGTTTCAAGATTCTCCTTGGATCACCAGTGGCCTCTGGTCCCTTCTAGGGGACCAGGGGATTCTTATCAAGTGTTCCTGGCCCACCTTTTTGCCTAGAACTCTGCCACCATCCATAGCCTGTTAAGACCAACACCCAGACACCCAACCTGCCCTGCCCATCCAATCCCCAATGGGCCAAAACCCAAATCTGCTGCCTCGAGCATTTGAGCGGGTAGGAAACTGATGGATTAGCACAGAAGCCAAATTGGCTCTGACCCCACAAGGCTCCCAGCAAATCCCAAGCAGGCCCCCCACCAGCGGTGCAAGGAACAACCCCGTCAGAGGCCCCTGCTCTCCCCATCCCTAAGTTCTCAAGGCCAGTGTTCTCTCAGTATAGGAAAAGGAAGAATGGTTATTCAAGGAAGAGCCTGTTATTCATTGATTTCCCTCACCAATACCTTCTTCCGCTTTCCGACCTCATCTGGGACAATGGCTTCCCTACCCCAGGGACGGAATCATTTCCCACATCCTACAAACTACAAGCCAGCCTCTCCCCCAGGCTGAGACACCGTATATGGAAAATGTGACCTAGGGAGGGGACAGGTCATTATTCCTTTTACAAAAGCCTTCCAATCCGTTCAGTTCACACAGCTGCCCAGCAGCACTGTGTCACAGGGTAGGGGTCACAGGAGGTTGCCATCCACAGCACGAAGTAGACCAGCAGTGTCTCGGCCCCACCCTGGACCTTAGCTTGGCACTTACCTTGGGTCTGTGGGAACTCCGGACCATGGCCTTGGCTTGGGGCTGCAGCTGCTGCTCTTCGCCGTCCTTCTCTTTGCCGCACTTCATCTTCTTGGGCGGCAGAGATTCCGTCACATCATCTGGCTGCCACTTGTTCTTGCAAGCAAAGACCCCTACACTTTCCTGTTTCACTCGCGCCTGCCCGGTCTTACCCCGAACTTCAGCTTGGCCCCTTTGGGGAGCCGCTGGGAGGCCATCAGCCCGGAAGCAGGTGGCTAAATTGAAGACCACATCACCATCCACCTTCTCCATTTTCACTCGCCCCAGATCCACCTGGCTTCCAAGCTGTGGGCGCTCGGTGCTGGAGCCCCTCCTGCTGCTCGGAACCACGTCCAAGGTAAGTTCCTTGGGGTGGCTGTCGTGAGGTAGCAAAGGCAGCTCAGGCATCTTAGGCAGGTTCTGGGGGGTGGCCAGGACCAGCTCATGGGACATGTAGGTGGCCAGCACTTGGTTCTTAGGCTTCGTGTCTCCTGCCAGCTTCAGGCCACAAGCCCCCTGGGGGCCTTCCATCTTAGGAGTGCTGTCAGAGCAGAGGTGGCTCTCTGATTCCTCAGGCCCCTGATTCATTCGAATGTCCCCACCACTAGGCTGAACAGACAGTGCCAGGGTCCCAGTCTGAGGGCTGAGGGTCAAGAGGACAGGATTGACTTGTTCTTCGTAAGGCTTGGCAGCAATCCGGCAAGTTTTGTTCTTTGTAACAGTGTCCTGCTCTGGAACAAAGGAGCCCCCAGGCCGTGGCTGCCCCTCGGGAAGTCCGTGCACGGCTTCGCTGGAGCTGAGAGATGGCACACCAGAAAACTCCGAAACAACGTTGGTGGGCCTGATGGGCGCCCCCTGACTGGGGGTCAGCTGCCCAGCACTGGAAATGCCAATGGAAAGCAGAGACGCCTGGTGGTATGGGGACCAGCCAACAGGCAGGACCTGGGTGCTGGTAGGTTTCCCATTGACTGAACACCGGGGATAAATATTTGCTGGCCCTGTGGGTTTCCACAAAGAGAGTTCCTTGGTTTGGCACCCTGGCAGCCCAGGGGCAATGCGGGTTGGGGTGTATCGTTTCACTGTGCTTGGCTGTCCCTCAGCACCAGCCTGGCTGCCCTTTTTGCCACATGTGGCACCAGCGCCCTTCGGCTCTCCTTGATCAATGATGGAGATGGGCTCCTGCTTGGGGAGATGGCGGGGGTCACGGTTGAGGCCCAGGTTGGGGTCTTTGTTCAGCAGCAGGGATGCAGGCACTGGGTTGGCCACTCCCACGTAGGTGCCAGGAATGGTGCTAATCAGCGCGGTTGAGTTCTTCACCCAGGTGCTCGGGTCCCCATTCCTCACGATCTCAGGAAATATAACAAAGGGTGAGGAAGTGGAGCCCAGGCAGGAGGTGACGTTGCTGCCGGCAGCCTGGGTCGTGCGCTGAGACCTAGACAGGACTGTGGAGAGGAGGGCCTTGCTGCTGGTGTGCACGGGGGTCAACACAGGCATGGGGGGTGTCTTGCGCTGGTTCGGCAATGGAAGCTTCTGGCGGTTGGACTTGGAGGACAGATCAAGGGGCATCTCGCTGCACTCAGGTGGAGAGGCCATCTCTCGTTCCAGCTGTGGCGGTGACTTAAGAGGAGAGAAGGTAACGGAAGTCCCTTCTGTTTGCTGCTCGGTGCCAGTGGGCATCTTGGAGGGGTGTGGTGGGGCTGAGCTCCCACTGGGGGCTGGCAGCAGAGGCTGTGGAGTTGGAAGCACCTTGGCAGAAGCAGTGACGAGGGACGTATCTGCCAAAGGCCCAGGGACTCCGTCGGGTGCAGGCTGGGTGGTGGTGCTACCAGATGGGGAAGTGCAAGGGAGCCTGTTCACCTCCAGAGACACCAGCTTGGAATCCGAAGTCAGAGGCCGGGCCACAGAAAATGCGTACGGGTAAGAACGGAGCTCTGGGGAGGCTAGCACGCCTGGGAGACACCTGTCCTGCAGGTAGGATGGCAGGACGGGGAGCGTAAGAGTGGAGGAGACCCCTAGAGTGGTTGGCAGTGTGGCCACACTGAGCGGCTGCCCACAGCTTGGAGGTGGGATATATACCAGCGGCTGGCTCGGGGTCAGCACTGTCCCTGGCTGAAAGGACAGGGGTACTTTTTGCATAGCTGGTGCCTGAGCTGCAGGAAAGCACACTCGACTCAAACTGAAGGAGGCCGGGATGGGTGCAGAGGTGGGAATGGCAGCTGGCGTGGCAGCAGGCATGGGTGTGGGGGCTGGAGTAAAGATGGGGGCTGGGGTGGGTGCAGGCACCGGCGTGGGAGCAAAGGCGGGGATGAGGGTGGGGGTAGAAGGTGGGCCGGAAGACGGGGTTGGAGTGGGCATGGGCACAGACGGAGGGGCAGGGGCAGCTGGAGGTGTGGATGCCGGCATGGGAGCCAGAACTGGAGTGGGGACGGGAGCGAGAACCAAGGTTGGAGCTGAAGGGGGCACAGGAGCCTGGATGAGAGCCAAGGGAGGAGCTGAAACTGGGACTGAAAGCGGGGTAGGAGCTGAAGCCGACAGGGGGACCGGGCCCGAAGGGGGAGCAGAAGCTGGCACAGGCACCAAGACCGAGGCCGAAACGGAAAGGGGGTTCGAGTCAGAGATGAGCGTGGGCACCGACGGTGGCGCCGGAGCCAGAGCCGGGACAGGTGCTAAGGGAGGGGAAGGAGCTGGAACTGAAGTGGCAACTTGGACTGGAACAAGCCCTGAATGGGGGACTGGGGCAGGGACGGAGAGGGGAACCTGGAATGCATCTGGAACAGAGGGGGGGACAGAGGCTGAACCGGGAGCAGGGGGACAGATAGGGGCTGGCAGAGGACTAAAGTTAGTGGTAACCAGAGGCAGGGTCCCCTCCACAGGGACTCCGGTTCCCAGAGTTGCCAAAATGAAAGTATTCTTCTCTCCAACACCTTGCCGAGAGTCCAAAGCCTTTACTCCAGCAGGCGAGCAGTCAACCTGTTTGCTCATTTGGGTGTTGAGTGGAGTCCAGGAGCAGTCGGCCCTGCTGTTGCTGGCCTCGGTGCTGTCAGATGAAGGAAGCTTGAGCCCGTCTCCTGGGCTGCTCAGGGGCACCAAGAGGCCCTCGGCCTCTGCCACGTTCCCAGCATAGTCCATTTTTGGCTGGGGATCGTCAGGCTTGTCTTCTGACTTGTGCCCAAGTTTTTCTGTAGCACTGCCATCTGGGTCTGCCCCCCGGGCATTGCTGCCACTTCCAACTGCCGTGAGCTCCACCTGCAACGACAGGATAGCATGCACATTTCAGCCAGCTCGCTGAAGATGGTGCAAGTGTTCTGAGAGCCCTGAGAGGCAACTGCTGGTCTTCTCTGCAACTCGACCAACCAGGTCTCAGAAGACGCAGAGGGCAGCCAGCCAATTTGTGTCCCACCAACACCAACTCCTGGGAGAGACCCTGTCCCTTTCTGCCCACTTCTTGGGATGGCAGGCTGGGCACACCTTCTGGGCAGCTCAACTCCATCCTTTGGTGGACAGCACGTGGCTCCATAAAGCCTCTTACCTTGGAAAAACTGCTGCTGACACAAAACTCCTGAGATCCAAAGTGCTGGCAGTCGCCTGTCGTTGACTCCTCATCAGAAAGAGGTGCTCTTCTAGCATGGAAGATACAACCAGAGAAGGGACATGAGGCCCAGGATTAGAGCCACCACCACCTTCCCCAGAATGCCTCTTGCCTTCCTGGGTCCCCATAAAACCTTCCTGTCTCACTTCCTGTGAGGTGAGATTGCGAGGAGGATTACAAGGAACTGGGGGTTCTTGGTTACAAAGTGGAGGCTCCACACCTAGCGTTGGAAGTCCCTGCCAGAGCCCAGTCTGACTAGACTCCCTTCTTTGGACTGTTCACCCTGTTTTCTAGGGCTCTTGCCAGGAGTGTGGACACCCTAGCACTTTTACCTTTTCCCTGGAGCTTACCTGCCAAAATGGCCACCCAGGATGTACAGGGCATTGCTCAAAGGGGAGAGACATGAGAACCACTGAATGCCTCAAAAGGTATGCAAAAACCATTTTTCTTTTAAATACAATCTTATTTTAAGTCTCTAAGGGCAGCTGGCTAAAAGTGTCATATGGGTAATCTTCTTCTAAAACAAATAAACTCCTGTTGTGTTTTCAGGTCTACATCTGAATCATCACCTATTCACCTCCTGGCTTGCCTAGAGCAGAGACACGTTTATTAGCACTGGTAATGATACCACTTGGAGGCCACCAGGTCACTGGGTGCTGAGAGGCATTATTTTAAGAATACTACTTTTTTCCCTCCAGCAGACACTGCCCCCTTTTCTAGAGTTCTAGGCAACGCCCTCCCTTCTACCCTCCTTCTATCCTTGCCTACATCCTATCTCCGGCCAGTGCCCCCCCACCCCCCCATCAGTCTCCCAGCACCACTTTGTTCTCTCCCGTCCGAAAGGCCTCAGACCCCAAATTCAGGTTCATATGCCCCAGAGAAAAAGGACTCAAGGCCAGACAGTCGGGTCCCAAAGGAGGAAAACTCAACTGCATCTCCCCCTGCTCAAAAAGTCTTCTCCAAATTTCAGGTAAGCATCATAGAAAATGGTACATCCTAACCAAAAAAAAAAAAGGAAGGGGTGGTATTAGACTGGAAGGGTGAAGTTACCCACTGAAAGTCTGGTATTTCAAGTACAGCAAGAACTATTAGGCCAGGCAATGTGGCTCACACCTGTAATCCCAGCACTTTGGGAGGCCAACCAAGGTGGGTACATCACCTGAGGTCAGGAGTTCCATATCAGCGTGGCCAACATGGTAAAACCTCAACTCTACTAAAAAATACAAAAATTAGCTAGGTGTGGTGGCAGGCACCTGTAATCCCAGCTACTTGGGAGGCTGAGGCAGGAGAATCGCTTGAGTCTGGGAGGCAGAGGTTGCAGTGAGTCGAGATCCCACCACTGCACTTCAGCCTGGGCGACAGAGTGAGACCCTGTCTCAAAACAACAACAGAAAAAAACTATTGCCCCCTGCCCTTGGGAGCTGTGGGTGGGAGTGGCCAAGGAGGAGGTTGAAGTTAAAGAATAAAACCCCAACATAGATGCTGCAGTGCGTTTCCTGGGTGGGCAAGGCACAGGACTGCTCTGTGTGCTCCTGGGGAAATACACTGTGCCTGAAATCACCTCCCTTCTTTCTCTCCTTTTTTCCCTGTTTTGGTTTTTTTTTTTTTTTTTTTTTTTTTTAGATTGAATCTCGCTCTGTCACCCAGGCTGGAGTGCAGTGGCGCAATCTCAATCTCGGCTCACTGCAACCTCCGCCTCCTGGGATCAGGCAATTCTCCTGCCTCAGCCTCCTGCGTAGCCAGAATTATAGGCATGCGACACCACGCCTGGCTAGTTTTTGCCTCCCTTCTTTAGAGCCTCACCCCAAGCTCCTGAAGACAGCCCTGAAGAAGCCAGCTCCCGCCTCCCCAGTCACCCTAGCCAAAGGGCAGTCAGGGTGCTGGAGCCAACCCCAACAAGAAGGGGGAGGGTGCTGCTAACTCCCTCCCTCCCACTGAAACAGGGACTCCAAAATTGTACCTGGGGCAAGAGAAGCAAAAAAGGCAAGGGGGATCACCACGGGCCTCTCCCCATCTTTTCAGGGATCCAGAAGGGGCTAACCGAGGGGGAAAGGCTTGTTCCCTTTAAAAGGCAGTTAGGCTGGCAGAAGTGGGAGGGCTCCACTGCTGGAAGTGACTGTTGGTGACAAACAGAAATGACCGTAAGGAGAGGCAAGGGCTTTAGATGCAGTCAGGGTGGTCTCGGGAAGGGGAGGGAGGGAGGGACTGAGGGAAAGGGAAAACATACTTTCACATCAACTCCTAAGAGACCACAAAAGCGAGACGTATGCCCAGCCTTGGGCCAGGGGGAAGCGTGTTCCCACTAGAATTGCCAGGGATGATTTTGGGGGGAATACTCCAGGGAAAACAAGCAGCACTTTCCCCAAGCAACCCCACATGGGAAGGTGCTATTTATTTACATTCTTTCCCCTCCAGGTCATACAAAAGGCAGTGGGCTGCATCCTCACTCCCCCCTTGCAAGCTCCCACCCTGCCTGAGATCACACCTTGAAAGCAGAATCCCTGCTCTCGAAGGCAGCTGCGAGAGAACCACAGAACCAGGCCAAGCAACAGCAGTCCTGGCTACTCCAGCCATACCCACGCCTGAGTGCCAGCCCCAAAGGCACTGCAAAATGTCATGCAGCCGTGTTTCAAATCCTCTGAGAAGAGGGGTGGGCAGAGCTAAGCAAACATTAACTTGCTCCATTGAGAGAAGAGCCTGGGACAGGAGTAACTTGCAGGGGAGGGGGCCCGGGAAGAGCTGGGTCAACCAGGCAAGGTTATGACGTGCAGCTGGCGGGGGCAGGGGCGGAAGGAGGGTACAGAGGTCATAGCAGGCTTCAGTCAGGACTGAAAATCAATCCTGCTGTTTCTTCCCACCACAGAGGAGGCAGAGCTGTTATGTTCAAGGTTTTGTGGAACTTAAACCAGAAACGGCCATGACCCCTCAGGGCTGTTTCCCTAATTATTAAGGGCTAGCACCACTGTCAAACCAGGCCCTCTTCAGTTCCTGCTGGGCCCAGACTACCCATAAGAGAAATATACCACCCAGCACATACCAGGCTCCTTACCTTCCAGTCCTGGGAGATTTTCCCTGGTTCGAGTCCCACAGTACCCCAAGACTGCCTTCATTCCAACTCGGACCTTTCCCAAACACACTGAGCTTTTTTATTTTTATTTATTTATTTTTTTGAGATAGAGTTTCTGTCTTGTTGCCCAGGCTCGAGGAGTGCAATGGTGCGATCTCAGCTCACTGCAACCTCCGTCTCCTGGGTTCAAGCAATTCTCCTGCCTGAGACTCCCAAGTAGCTGGGATTACAGGCATGTGCTACCACACCAAGCTAATTTTTGAATTTTTAGTAGAGACGGGGTTTCTCCATGTTGGTCAGGCTAGTCTCGAACTCCCGACCTCAGGTGATCCACCCGCCTCGGCCTCCCAAAGTGCCGGGATTACAGGCGTGAGCCACTGTGCGCCGCCATACTGTGCTCTTATTGTCCCAGGGAAATACCAGCTCTCACCTCAAACTCCTACTCATTCCTCAAGCCCGGGCTCAAATGCCACTGCCTCTGGGAAGCCTTCCCCTATTCTCCCACCAGGAGGTTTGTCGATTCTTGCATCTGGACTCCCACCGGACCCAGACATGCTACTCTAGGGCACTCACCACCAATGTACTAGGACTATTGGTTTGCTCTCATTATGTTGAATAAATGTTTGTTGAATGAAGGCATGAATTAATCCTAGAAGGGATGCAAGCAGGCAAGCAGACACATTTAGCTGTAGGTTTGCCTAGAGACAGCCACCTGGGGCCAGCCTATGCCTCCTGTTCTGCAGTTCTCAATTGCAGCTACCAAAGCTGGCAGGCCTCTAAAACATCACTTTAAAAGTTGAACCCCAGGCACAGCTTTGTACCCTAAATTCCTAAATTCTACAAGTTGTAAAAGGCCAAGGAAAAGGATTTTTAAATAAGGTGAGATTACATTTTGGAAACCAGTGATAACATGGCCTAGACTGTAGCAAGAAGGTGATAATAAAGGGTGGATGAGATGAAAAGTGGCAACACTTAAAAAGTCATCTTAGGCCGGGCGTGGTGGCTCACATCTGTACTCCCAACACTTTGGGAGACCGAGGCGGGCAGATCACCTGAGGTCGGGAGTTCGAGACCAGCAGGACCAATGTGGAGAAAACCCGTCTCTACTGAAAATACAAAATTAGCCGGGTGTGGTGGCACATGCCTCTAATCCCAGTTACTCAGGAGGCTGAGGCAGGAGAATCGTTTGAACCCGGGAGGCACAGGTTGTGGTGAGCCAAGATCACACCACTGCACTCCAGCCTGGGCAACGAGAGCTAAACTCCGTCTCAAAAAAAAAAAAAAAAAAAAAAAAAAAATGGTCATCTTAAGCACCAGGCACAGGTTTAGAAGGAGGGAAAATCTGGCCAGGCATGGTGGCTCACATCTGTAATTCCAGCATTTTGGGAGGCCAAGGTGGACAGATTGAGATAAGGAGTCTGAGACCAGCCTGGGTGACATGGTGAAACCCTGTCTCTACTAAAAATACAAAAATTAGCCAGGCATGGTGGTGCACACCTGCAATCCTAGTTACTCAGGAGGCTGATGCACGAGAATCACTTGAACTCAGGTGGCGGAGGTTGCAGTGAGCCAAGATCGTGCCACTGCATTCCAGACTGAGCAACCGAGCAAGACTGCATCTCAAAAACAAAAAACAAGATGGAGGGAAAATCAGATTTTGAGTCTACTTCCTGCTCCCTTCTTGGCAGGGATTTATAGTAGATGGTGAACTAAGGTAACTTGTCTGTTGGTCTTTTTTTATTACTATTTAATTTTACTGTTTTTGAGACAGAGTCCTGCTCTGTCACCCTGGCTGGAGTGCAGTGGTGCAATCTCGGCTCACTGCAACCTCCACCTTCCAGGTTCAAGTGATTCTCTTGCCTCAGTCTCCCCAGTAGCTGGGATTACAGGCATACACCACCATGCCTGGCTAATTTTTTTGTATTTTTAGTAGAGACGGGGCTTCGCCATGTTGGCCAGGCTGGTCTTGAACTCCTGACCTCAGGTGATCCACTCGCCTTGGCCTCCCAAAGTGCTGGGATTACAAGCATGAGCCACAGTGCCCAGTCCTGCTGGTCTTTTGAAGGCTCTAGTCCAGATTTCTGCATCAAAGTCTCAACTACTTATAACTAGGTCAACATGACCCGCCAATGAATACTTAAGCAAATCATTATTATCACCCTGCCTTTCCCTAGATCATCTCCTAGTGATCATCTGAGGACATGCTTCATATGTAAAGGAAAACACTTTTCTTCCTGAGCACCTGAGAATTTCATCTCATTTTCCATGGTCTTTACTCTTGTATCCTACAATTAAATTCCTTTTAAGCCCATCTCTAACTTGTTCCTCAGTACAGAGAACATTAAGCTATCAGGCACTAATGGCTTAAGAAAATAGAAAGGTCTATTCTGCTAACCTTGACCTCAGATAAGTATATACTTCTTCGGTTAGGAACAGAAGAAGAAAGTAGATAAACACAAAGACTTCCATTCCTTTTCCCCTCAAAATCACCAATACTCCCCCATATGCACACACACATTTCTAAGGTTTACCCAAGAAACGTCAAATCTTGAATCCCAGGGAAAGCCATATTGTTCTGTGGCTTGGTGATTTATCTGATGTATATTTGAATTTAAACAGTCAGTGGGTTGAAACAACAGAAAAACACCAGCAAACATGAAAGAGCAGTGCCTTCTCTAAAAACGGGAGAGACGGCCGAGTGCAGTGGCTCATGCCTGTAATCCCAGCACTTTAGGAGGCCGAGGTGAGTGGATCATGAGGTCTGGAGTTCGAGACCAGCCTGGCCAACATAGTAAAACTCCGTCTCTACTAAAAATACAGAAATTGGCCAGGTGTGGTGGCATGCGCCTGTAGCCCCAGACTCTGTCTCAAAAAAAAAAAAAAAAAAAAAAAAAAGGGCCGGGCGCGCTGGCTCATGCCTGTAATCCCAGCACTTTGGGAGGCCGAGGTGGGTAGATCACGAGGTCAGGAGATCGAGACCATCCTGGTTAGCATGGTGAAACCCTGTCTCTACTAAAAATACAAAAAATTAACCAGGCATGGTGGTGGGTGCCTGTAGTCCCAGCTACGTGGAAGGCTGAGGCGGGAGAATGGCATGAACCCAGGAGGTGGAGCTTGCAGTGAGCCCGAGATCGCACCACTGCACTCCAGCCTGGGAGTGACAGAGCGAGACTCTGTCTCAAAAAAATTTAAAAAATGAGAGAGGCACTGCAGCCATCACACACAGCTCTTTGATCAAGGGTTATGAAAGCCAAATGTAAATTCTGAAGGCCATTTTGAGTGCTTTGGGTATGGGCATGATCAGGAAATGGCACATCTTGGTCAACCAAATATTCTGGGGAACAGATAACTGAAAACACACACACGTCAGGCAGGTGTCACCAACTCTCAAGACTATGCTAGGCGGTCTCAACATCCTTTGATACTTCATAAGGATCTCACTTCAAATTGGAATTAGCCTCATGAGGTGGGAAAGCGCTGACCACCAGAATGCCTAATGCCAGTTCCCAGCAGAAATCTGAACAATAAAACCATCTTTCTTCCAGACCTAGATCAAGGACTGAAAATACCTTATATATATCCTTGAGCACCAAACTTTGAGGCAGCAAATAAAAACTGCAATCGCTGGCCGGGCATGGGCAGTGGCTCATGCCTGTAATCCCAGCATTTGGGGAGGCTGAGGCAGGCAGATCACTTGAGCTCAGGGGTTTGAGACCAGCCCGGGCCACATGGTGAAACCCCCGTCTCTACAAAAACTACAAAAAAAAAAAAAAAAAATTAGCCAGGCGTGGTGTTGCTCGCATGTGGTGGGAGAATCACTTGAGCCCAGGAGGCAGAGGTTGCAGTGAGCCAAGACTGTGCTGCTGCCCTCCAGCCTGTGTGACAGAGTGAGGCCCTGTCTCAAAAAAAAAAAAAAAAAAAAAAAAAAAAAAAAAATTGCCATTGCCTGAGCTTTCCCTTACTCCCCAGTCTGACAGTTGTTAATGAGTAGACAAGTGCTAGCTGGCAAAAGGTCATTTTTTTGGCCTCCTCACCTTCGTCTGAAAAGAGATAGCATGGCAGATCAGGCCACTCACACAGCCCCATCTCCATCCCACCACAGGAAAATTAGAAACAACTAAGAGTCTCCTCCCCAGGGTCCCTCCCCAGGCCCTATTGTGTGCAGCTATCCCTCTGGTGATGAGGTACCACTCACTGGAGGCCAGCAGCGGCCACCTTCCGCCTCCTCACCTCTCCTCGTTGATGCCACACATGCGAATCCGGTCAGAACTGGTCCAGTTGTGCACGCTGCTGTAGAGCGGTGCTGTAGAGATCATGACAGCCACTCACCACCAGATAGGACCTGCTGTGGCCACTCCCCCTGGGGAAAAGAATTCCAGAAAATCAAAACTCGTAACAGGGACAGCTGCTTCAATCACCTTTTACAGAGCAATGTTTCAATAAAGGTAATTACAGCATCAAAATGTTAAAGCAGCCAGCCTGCTATGGAAAATTAAGGTCTAAACCGGGAAGAAGGAGCACTAGCTTTCTAGGAATCCATAGGTTTCAGGATGGAGATGAGGACATTGTTAATCACCTAGAGTAGTTTTAAATTATCTTAAAAGACAGATATGCTTGAGTGTTCGAGGAAATTCAATCTATTTCAGACAAATGAGATGACAGTATATTTTTCTACACACATTTAGCCTAACCAACTACAATTAGAGAATCATACCCATATATGAATGGTGCACTGAAACACTACTGGTGACCTTTTTCTCTTCTACTCTCTAATCCATAGGTACTGAAGTATTTGAGTGACGTAGCCAATTTACACTCTTCAGAGGAAGCACATGCTGTTTTTTATAAGTCCTTCAAAAATACTCCATTGACTTTGACTTGGACGTAACACATATATCTAACCTGGTTTCAAGCTCCCTCCAAATCAGGTGTGGTATTCCTTGCACACTGACCACCAACAAGCAAACAAACAGAAAACAATGTTCCATCAAGAACCACATGTTTCGGCAGGGCGCGGTGGCTCACGCCTGTAATCCCAACATTTTGGGAGGCCAAGGCGGGTGGATCACCTGAGGTCAGGAGTTCGAGGCCGCCTGGACAACATGGTAAAATCCCGTTTCTAGTAAAAATTTAAAAAATTAGCCTGGCATGGCAGTGCGCACCTGTAATCCCAGCTACTCGGAAGGTTGAGGCACAAGCATTGCTTGAACCCAAGACGCGGAGGTTGCAGTGAGCTGAGATCGTGCCAGCACACTCCAGCCTGGGCCACAGAGCAAGACTTCATCTCAAAAAAACAAAACAAAACAAAACACATGTTTCCGTCCTTGTCCCTTCCTATCAGTCTGTTGTCTCCATGCTCCAACACTCTCTTCACCAGCCAATGTCCCTCTCTCGCTTTCACAAGCAGGGCACAGTCAATTTACCTTCTAGAAAAAATGAGCCACCAAGAAAAAGCTTTATCCAGTGAGCTTGTCTTGAGACCCTTAAGCTCTCAAGTTAACTTATTAACTAAAATCCTTATTCATTGAAGTTCAGCTGAACAGAACCCTACAGTTATCAGAATTGTATGTTGTTCTCCACTTTCCAAAGAAGTAAATCACAGTAAGATATAGTTGTATGAGGGATTTGTTTCATGTATCCGTTTTTCAATTTTCAGAGATTGTCCACATTCAACACAGTATCACAATTTATTGCATTCCTACTATGAGCCAGCACCATCCTATGTACTGAGGATTCAACGATTAACAAAACAGAACAAAATCCCTGCCCATGTGGAGCTTACATCCCAGGGGGATGACATGGACAATAAACATGTTAAATACTTCTATGTCACAGCATGTTAAATAATTGTATGTCACGGCATGTTAGAAGATAGTACAACAGGTTAGGTGCAGTGGCTCATGCCTGTAATCCCAGCACTTTGGGAGGCCGAGGCAGGTGGATCACCTGAGGTCTGGAGTTCAAGATCAGCCTGACCAACATGGAGAAACCCCGTCTCTACTAAAAATACAAAATTAGCCAGGCGTGGTAGTGCATGCCTGTAATCCTAGATACTCGGGAGGCTAAGGCAGGAGAATTGCTTGAACCCAGGAGGCAGAGGTTGTGGTGAGCTGATATTGCGCCATTGCACTCCAGCCTGAGCAACAAGAGTGAAACTGTCTCAAAAAAAAAAAAAAAGGAGGAGGAGGAGGAGAAGTACAACACAGACTAAGGGGCAAGGACACAGTCTAAGGTGGGGAGGGCCACTATCTGAAATAGGGTGAGCAGGGTAGGCCTTGCTGTAAAGGGGACGTTTAAACCATCGGAATGAGGTGAAGGAGTAGCCACACGGATATTTGGGAGAAAAGCATTCCAGGCTGAGGGAAGAGTGTACAAGAAAGTCCTAAGGCGGGAGGTTGCCCACAAAGATCAAGGGAGAGCCAGGAGGCCAGTGTGGAGGTGGTAGGAGAAGAGAGGGGGGCATCCACCCTACCTGGGCTTCATCCTCCTCCTCATCTCTGCAGAGCTGCATACCGTTGCCCTTGCCCCTTCTCTTTATTCTCTCCCTTCTCTTGTCTTTCCTGATCCACTGCCTGATGGCTTCTCCGGGGCCCTTCTCTTCCACTGCCCACCCCAAAGACTTGGGCATTCACTGGGGCCTCGCCTTTCCCTTGATCTCTGTCTCTCTTCACCTCTGCCACCCTCTCCCACTTCCTCCCCTTCCTATCTTTCAAGGCTCCTTCCCTCTTTCTCCTCATCCCCCTACCCAGCTCTCTCTCTTTACTCTTCCTCCTCCTCACCTTTCTCTCTCCCTATTATTCTCCCAGCTGTTCACCTTTTGCCTTTCTCCTCTCTCTCTCTCTCTCACACACACACACAATCCCCTCTCCTCCAACTTTCTCCCCGTTCCCACCTCTCCCCTTCCCTTTCTTTTTCTTGCTTATCTCACCTTCCCCATTTCCCTCAGTCTCCCATTCATTCTCTCCTCCCTCTCCCCCTCCTTCCCTTTCTCCCTCTCCTGTGCCTCACCCTCCCCTCTACTCTTTGGCCTTCAGTCTCCCTCTTCTGGTCCCTCCCTGGTCTCCTTCTGTCTCTTTTCCTCCTAGTCTGCCTTTTGCCGGCTCTCCCTGGCTTCCCCCACCCATCTCTCTCCCTCTGTGCCAGTTGTCAGCCCTGCCCCGCCTTCTCTCTCAGCTCATGAGCTTCCACAGTTTCAGCTCGCCCCTTGATGCGCTGATGACTCCCAAATCTGTATCTCTAGCCTTGACCTCTCTCCTTAAGCCCAGACCAGAATTTCCAGCTGCCAGCAACTCGCTGTTAATTGGATGACCACCAAGCCCCTCAAACTCAACGTGTCTCAAACCATACTCATTATCTGTTCTCATAAACCTGCTCCCCACCCCCTATGTCCAGTAGCAGCGTGTTTCCTAGCTTACTTAACAGCACTACTGTCCCCTAGCCTGGAAATTTCCGCCCTGTCGTCTTCAACTCCTTCTCTCCCCTGCCGCCCATATTCAATCAGAAGTCATGCCTTAATAATGCCATCTCCAGCCTTGCCTTCTACCCTTCTTGCCACTACCCTGGTGCAGGTCCTCATCAGCTCTCACCCAGAATATTATAATCACCTCTTAACTGCTCCCTCTGCCTTCAATTTCTTGATTCTACAATAAATTCATCTTCTAAAGCTCCAGGTCGATCATGTCACCCCCTCCTTTCTCAAAAGCTTTCAACAGCTTTCCCTGGCCTCTAGGATCCAGCCAGTCATTCTCAGCACAGCCTTCAGGGCCCTCATGACCTGGCCTCAAACCTCCTCTCCAGCCTCCTCTTCCACCACATCCTGCCATTTCCCCACCACTCTCACCACCCCCAGCTCCCAACCCTTCCTAAACACACCATCCAGTTTCAGGACTCTTCTCCCTCCTCACCCTGAAATGGCCTCTCCTGCTTCCCCCTCTTCCTCTCCCTGTCTTCTCTCAAGACCCAGCTTAAATGTCATCACGTCATCCCCCTAGCCCTGGCCCTAGAGTTCAGTTAACCCCTCCCTCTCTGGTTATCCTCAAGCATTTAATCCCTACCTCTTCCACAGCACTGGTTCTTACTCTCCTCTCTAGCTTGGTTAGTTGGGGGCAAGGCATGTTTATCTCCCCCACCAGACAATCAGCTACCTAAGGTAAGAAATAGCATCCTTGGCCAGGCACAGTGGCTTACGCCTGTAATCCCAGCACTTTGGGAGGCCAAGGCGGGCAGATCACCTGAGGTCAGGAGTTTGAGACCAGCAGAGCCAACATGGGGAAACCCCATCTCTACTAAAATACCAAATTAGCCGGGCATGGTGGCACATGCCTATAATCCCAGCTACTTGGGAGGCTGAGGCAGGAGAATCGCTTGAACCTGGGAGGCGGAGGTTGAGGTGAGCTGAGATTGCGCCATTGCACTCCAGCCTAGGCAACAAGAGTGGAACTCCATCTCAAAAAAAAAAAAAAAGAAAGAAAGAAAGAAAGAAAAAGAAATAGCATCCTTTTTTGTCTTTGGTTCTTCCACGACACCTTACATATAGTAACTACTCAGTAAATGCATATTATACGGAACTGAATTCTGGATAAGAACTGAAGTGACGGCCCTGAGAAATCACAAGAAGCAAAATCAACACCCACCCCCCGACACACACACAAAGCATCCACCATGTTTGCTTACTACAGAAAAACCTTTGTACTCCAATGAAAAAACTATGCACTGTCTATAGTATAACCTTCTGGGCTATTTGATTTTAGCTCAGGTTATTGTCTTCAAGCTATTCTGCATCTCTGTAAATTGCAGGTAACTGATGTATATGCGAAGTCTGTCTTGTCCCATAGAGTTTGGATTGACTTTCCTCCCCACTGTAGAAAAATTACTTACTCCACATAAATTTGTGCTTTTTGACTTTTTGTTTGAACCAGCTATAACATCTGTCTGGTTCTCTTGTTGATTAATGAGTAAAATAAAATCTTTAACACGTGTTCATTTTTATATCTGTACGAGAGTCATGATTTTTTACCTTTTTTCTGACAATTATCTTTTAACATTACAAAGACAGTTATGTGGGTTAGCATAATTTTAGAAACATTTTTAACAGGGACCCCGTTCCCTGAACATCCTGGTTAATCAAGTTTTGACTGTTTCTCAGAATATCTTGGAATATCCCCATTTTAACAAACAACACTGGCTGGGCACAGTGGCTCACACCTGTAATCCCAGAACTTTGGGAGGTTGAGGTGGGAGGACTGCTTGAGTCCTAGAGTTCAAGACCAGCCTGGGCAACATGGCAAAACCCCATCTCTACAAAAAATTAGCCGGGCATGGTGGCGGGTGCCTGTAGTCCCAGCTACTTGGGAGGCTGAG